GAGGTTCCTAAAAAGCATGGGCTGGGTACTGTAGTGCATGCCTGTAATCCTAGTGACTCTGGAGACTGAGGATGGAGGATGGTAAGTTCCAGCCAGCCTCAGCAATTTAGGGAGGCCCTAGGCAACTTAATGAGACCCTGTCTAAAAATAAAGAGCTGGGGATGTCAGTCATCACTGACTTACCTCCTTCCACCATACAGAAAAATGAACTCAAAATAGATCTTTTTTTCTTTTTGGGGGTGGTGTTGCAGGGGGTGGGGTTTGCAGGGAATTGAACCCAGGACCTCATTCATGCTAAGTACACAAACCATCACTGAGCTACACCCCCAACCCCCCAAACTAAAAACCTTTGCTATTAACACCCTGGCTGGTGTGTTGAGACCATATGGAAGGGGTAGGGGCCAATGGTTGAATCTGAGAGACTAGTTGAGAAATTACTGCTACCACTCAGGTGAGCAGGTGAGTGACAGTGGTAGTATCTGTGGAGGCAGTAAGAAACGGTCTTGATGCATTTTTAAGGCACAACACATAGGATTTGCTGACGAATTGAACATGGAATATTACAAAAAGACTGGAGTAAAGGGTCTCTTCAAGGACATGGCAAAACGGGGAAGAGCAGCTGTTGTGTTGTAAGAAGCTCATTAGACCTCTAGGTGATGTCAAGGAAGATTCAGGGGGTTAAGTTTGGAGCTTGGGAGAGAAGTGGAGCTGGAAATGCACATTTGAAAGTCACGAGTTTCAAATCCAATCAGAATCTGTTGTCTTCTCCAAAAAAATGGGAATAATAGTAGAACCTACTGTTTTTTTGTTTTTCTTTTGAACTAAGCTCTTCTTAGGTTGCGGAGGTAGGTCTCCAGCCCCACAGACAGCTGAAACGCCCTGCTAACCTAGTTATTAAGGTGTACGTCAGGTAAAAAACTAGCAGATTAAGTTGCTTGGCAACTACTATTTGTATTTTTATGTTGACGTTTACTCATTTATTCCATGAGTAAAATATAGCACAAAAACATACTGTAGTGACTGTGTGATCTCTGGGCTTGACTTATCACTCACTAGAGAGCCATTCCTCAATTTCCTTTAGAAAATGAGCTGAACTATGATATCTACACACAGAATTGTTACGAAAACTAGATGAGATAACCGAGCTCAGTGTTAACAGAAGGCACTCAGCAATGTTATGTTAGCGGATGAGACAAGCCTTAAACAATGCATCAATCTGAGTCTTCAATCGCCTCCTTTGAGAAGCACTCCCAAGACCTCCACTCCAAAACCTCACTGCGCCCCTGCGGAAACCCTCTCAGTTGCTACTCCGGGTATCCCAAGGCGCGCGGAGTCAAGCCCTTTCACAGCTCAGCGGGATAATCGAAGGTCGCTCCAGAGACTGAATTTGGAGGGCAAGACCAGTAAGCTTCAGTTGTGAGCCCARGGCCCTGGACTGGAAGTGGGCGATCCGAGGATCCGGAATCGAGCTGAAGGAACCGCTCGGGCCGGCAGAAACCACACCCGGCCCGCCACGCGTATGGGGCTGCGCCTGGGCGCGTGGACTACAGATCCCAGCAGCCCCGCGCGGCGCTCAGGAAGTGCAGGCGTGGTCGCAGACTGGGCATATATAAGCCCGGTGCCGGGGCCCGTGCGTCCTTTCTCCTGTCCCTGGCGCTGGTGGTGTGTGGACGTGGAACCACGAGGCCGGTGCCCGTAGCCGCCTTAGCTCGCTTCTATAGGCCCGCACTCGTCCGGGCTACCTCTAGAGACTGCGGGATGTAGAGTGCCGGGCCGGGCCTCTTGGCCTGGGCTGCCGAGGGCCTGAAGGCTACGACGGCCGCCTGCGCAGTGAGACGGGTCGGCACCCGCCGGGCGGTGTCCTCTTCCCGTCTCCGCTGGCGCAGCCGTACCCTGGCGCCTGACCCGTGGATGAGGCGAGCGGGCGGCCGGGTGCTGGAAACGAGTTGGGTATGTAATTAGGCACTTGGGGTTGAAGTCTTGGGCCTCAGATCACCTAATTTAGGTAATAACACCAATCGGTGAGCCTGAGAACTGCTGCGTGACATTGGACAATTGACTTAGTTATAGAATATTCTAGAAGGTATCTTGGTGTGAATATAAGGACAAAATTTTCAGGAGGAGGGTTTTGGAGTCGTTCAGACGCTCTTTTTCCTGCCCTTCCCCCAGCCCCCGTGGTGCTTGGGATTGAACCCACATGCTAGGCAAGCACTCTGCCACCGAGCGGCATCTCCAACCCTTTAAAATGATTCTGTGAGATTGAGATAATGCATACAAAACACTGGTACACAGTACAGCCCTTAGGGCMTACAGGATGACTAGTGTCCTTTGGTAGCCAATGATGCACAGGATTTAGGTGAATTAGGAAGGATAAGTGTGGTTTGGCTTTGAGGTTCTGTGGTCTCCATTGCCCCCTGGCCCTTATCGAAGCTGCAGCTGCTTCCACATAGCTGCTGTGGTCAAAAAGGAGCCCAGAGCAGCAGTTTTCCTTGACGGTCGCCGTTCTGTTTGCTGTAACTGATCTGCAACATTTTGGGAAAAGACAACTTCATTGTTCTTGCTATTTCTTAGGGATAGCTGGAGACCTTTATTAATATTGAACGTAGAGTTATCAGGGTGAGGTGTTGAAAAATAACTAGTTGAGCCCAGGAACCAGAATGAAAGGGCATTTGGGGGTGTGTGGGATGCCTGTCCTAGAAAGATCAGTGGCACAGAGAATGCCAGTGCTTTGGTCTCTGTCCTGAAAAGCTAAGTCATCAGTATCAGGATTAAAAGCCAGGCAGACCTTTATGATTGGATGAAGGAAATGCTAAGATCAATCAGGACAGTTGTGCTGTCTTTCATCTTAGTCATGCCAGATCAAGATGCTATGAAGATGGTGGCGAGTGAGGGTCATGGTGATGAAATGCGACAACTTCAGGACTTGGTAAGTTACTTTTGGAGCTACATGGGGAGCTCCCTGGTGGAACAGTACAGCATGTTTCCAAGGGCTGTGGCTGTTTGTGGCCATGGGATCTCCAACTGCATGCAAGAACAACTGGAGAGACTTTGACAGCTCAGGTCAGCACAATACCTGCAGCTGCCACTCACCTTTCCTATAAAGTCATCAGGACCTGGGTTGGAAGSCTGCCACACCAGGTCCAGGTGTGTTCCGTCAACTTCATGTAGGTGGTTGGATCAACTGATTTAGAGCCTTCACAATAAGCTTCGTTTCTGCAGGTTGCCCCCAGGTTTCCAGGAAGTGTGTGATATTGAAGAGTGAAAAGACCAGCTTGTTTCTGGAGTTGTGCTTTAGATTAAGGTAAAGTTACCATGGTAAAGTTACACTTGACCCTCTGGTTCCCTTTCCCATCGGATCTGAATACTGGTCTTGGTGGTCGTAAAAGGAGGAAAAGTAATACTGAAGCTGGCCTTAACMGTGTTCTAGTCTGTTTTCTAACACATGGGCTAATTTCAAACAGGAGTGAATTCTCTTTGAAATTGTTTGCTCTTCCCCTGTACAATGGAGGATAAGAGGATGAGTGTGATGCTGTGTGCATTTGATTAGGAATTGCTGGATAATGTTGTATTTGAGGGGTGTTTTCTTTTCTCTTGATAGAGGGTGTCTTTTTTTTTTTAAGGTCTTTGTAACCAGAAAGTTGTCTTCATCTTCGATAATTGGCTACAGAGTTGGGTGAGTTAATGACTACCTTCCTTCTAGCTTCAGGCAGTGCTATACTATTGCAAACCCTTTCCTTAAGCAGTGTAACAGGTATTACACTGCTATGGAAGTTTTAGCATTTAAAAACCATTTAATTTGTCAGTGTGATGCTGAGGATCTAACCCAGGGCCTCACATGCCCTACAAGTGCTCTACACTGAGCCCCAGCCCCTCAAGTTATCTGTGAATTTGCCATAAACACAGCTACTGGAAGCAGCAGAGGGAACARCTCTGCTCCTTGGGCAAGAAGGACTGAGCTGCAAATACCCTGTAGTGACTGGAGCTTATGCCATAATTTTTTGTGCGAGCTCATCTCTACCCCTGGGAGAGTGGGAGGTAGACTAGTGGTTAGAAAGGAGTAGTTAAGATATTTTTAGGGTCACTCACTGGTCCAGGATGAAACCTAATCTGAGTGGACATCTATGGATGAGAAATGCGGATATGGGACTGAGACCAGCTCTTAGGAAAGTGCTTGGGTGGGAATTACCCAGGGCTGTGGTAACACATGGGCTTATACTTCCTTTTCAGGAAAACACCGTGGGAAAGAAGATGCACACAAAAAGGTCACCAGTTATTAAAGAAGAAAATGGTAGCTTTGTAAGCAGATTTTTTTCTTTGCAAATGCTGTAATATGTAGCTATCCATAAGCAATAAAAGGCTTTGGAAATATTTGTCCCTCAGGTTGTTGCTTATTCCTCACTTATATCCCATATATGCAGCTGAATTATAATCTAATCCCTTCATAAGATTGATCCATTTTTTGACTGTTTTAATTTGCATTTTTTTTTCTTTTGCTGGGCCTGAGACTGTTTGCTTAGATCCTTTTTGCCTAAAGCAGCAACTGTACACACCACCYCAGTTCCTCTGGTATAAAATTAATTGGAAGAGATGGAGATTTTATAAACCATAGACCTTTCAGAAGTGTCTGGTACTGGATATACTTGATAAGGGATGGGTATGAGTCTGGCATGGATTCTGGCTCACACCAAGTCACTTTAATCACATTACCTCTTGTGAACCACCATATAGAATACTTACTTAGTTTAGGCAATTAAGGCCAAGAAATGGGAAGGGGGGCTTGGGACACATGACACTATAATGACTGAACCCAGGGGCACTGAGTCACATCTCCAGCTCTATTGTATTTTATTTAGAGATAGTGCCTCACTGAGTTGCTTGRCTGTGGCTGAGGCTGGCTTGGAAGTTATGATTCTCAGTCTCTCAAACCACTGGGATCACACTGTATCTGGCTCCCTTTTTTTAGGTTCTCTTAATCTTCTGCTGGCCTCAGTTGATGGGATCACAGGTGTGGGCCCATACTAAGCTAGTTGATGGGATTATAGGTGAGTGCCACCATGCCCAGTTAGTAGCACAGGCTATTTGGAAACACTAATTATTGGGGCAAGTTTCAGATTTTGAGCTTTCTAGGCCCAGCCACTGCATTTTGGGAGGTAGGGAAGGCAGGATTGGATCAAGGGGCACTTTCCCATTGAGCTATATCCCCTGCACTTTGAGACAAGTTCAAACTTGATGAGGCTGGTCTCCCAACTTTGTATCCTCCTGCCTCAGTCTCCAGAGTTGTGGGAATTACAGGTGTAAGCTCCACGCCCAGCTTTATTTCAAATGTTTATTTTTTWGGGCTGGGGTTGTAGCTCAGTGGTATAGTGCTTGTCTTGCATGTGTGAGGCTCTGGGTTCAGTCCCAGCACCACATAAAAATATTGTGTCCTTCTACAACTAAAATATATAAGAAATGAAACCAAACCCAGGGCCTCACCCATGCTAGGAGTGCTCTATCACTGAGCCACCATCCCAGTGCCCACCCCTCTTAATTTCTTTTTAATATAGCAATTTTGCTTAGATTGGTTTTGAATTTATAATCTTGCCTTGGCTCTGGAGAAGCTCGGATCACTTCTACCAACAAGTTCCTCTTCAGTGAGTCACACCTTTCTTAGCTTACCTGCTAGCCTTGAATACTGCTGACACAGCAGAAGCTCCACAAATTCTGACCCAAGGAATTTAGATGCCTGAGAATGGCTTATAAACCAGGGTTTAGTAAATGAATCTCATGATCCACATGTTGACCCCAAACTGTCCTTTGTCCAGGAGTTTGAGKGTAAACCTACTACTTGGGCAAATGACTAGTTCAACAAAATATTTGAGCCTTGTTGRACAGTTGGTCTCTTGGTTTTCACACTCATAGTTCACTACCAAGTAAGAGGCAGCAGAGTTGCAGAAGTAGTAATAATCTTAGTAAAGTCATTAAAATCTTACAAATCATTTCCAAAAGCAAATGTTTTCACTTTTTTTTTTTAAAAGTCAGTCCATCCTGACTTGTCCTTTGTCCTGGTTACATCATGGCAGGGATCTCTGAAGACACTGTGTCCAGGGGCTGCCAGTGGCAGTCCATCAGTGCATCGTACAGCTCCTCACTCTGTTCCATGAACTCCTTGTTGGCCTCAGTCACATCCAGCTGTGGCATGGGGTCTGGGGGGAAAAGCAGGGATGGGGTCAAGGCAGACTAAGGCACAACAGCCACAAGGGATCTGGACCCAGTTTCCTACTCCTAGGCCTCCTGGAGGGGCAAGACCCCCAGGATGAAAATGTTAATATTCTTAGAGAATATAATACCTGTAATGGGGTTTGTTTTTCCTTGCGTATTTATTAAAAGCTACACTTAGGGGCTGGGGTTGTGGCTCAGAGGTAGAGCGCTCACCTAGCATGCATGGGGCACGGGGTCTGAACTTCAGCACCAAACAAAGTAAAATAAAGACATTGTGTCCAACTATAACTAAAAAATAAACATTAAAAAAAATAAATGCAAATACTTAAAAAGATACACCTATATCTAGTAATCATATGCCCTGGATTTTCTCGTCTGGTCCTCATTTCAAATTTGGGCTTGAAAAWTCTGGTCAAAATCACTAATTTTGCCTCAACCCAAAAATAAATATTGAAAATAAATAAGTATTAAAATAAATATTTAGGGGCTGGGGATGTGACTCAAGCGGTAGCGCGCTCGCCTGTCATGCGTGCGGCCCGGGTTCGATCCTCAGCACCACATACMAACAAAGATGTTGTGTCTGCCAAGAACTGAAAAATAAATATTAAAAAAATAAAGAAAGAAATTATTTTAAAAAAATCACTCACTGAGTTGGCCAGGCGCAGTGGTGCATGCGTGTAATCCCAGTGGCTAGGGAGGCTGAGAGGCACGAGGATTGCGTGTTCAAAGCCAGCCTCAGCAACAGTGAGGTATTAAGCAACTCAGTGAGACCCTGTTTCTAAAATAGGGTTGGGGAGGGCTGGGGTTGTGGCTCAGTGGTAGAACGCCTACCTAGCATGTATGAGGATCAGCATCACATAAAAAATAAATAAATGAAATAAAGGTATTGTGTCCAACTACAACTAAATATAGCGGGGGGGGGGCCCTGAAGATGTGGCTCAGTGGTAGAATTCAATCCCCGGTACCCCCCTCAAAACAACAACAACACTTAGTTGGGCCAAGGGTATAGCTCAGTAGTTAAGTGCTTGTCTCACAATGTGCAAAAGCCTGGGGTCTGATCCCCAGCACCACACACACAGTTGCTGTGTCCAAAGTGCCACCTCAAAGAACTGACAAATGTCTGATAAAAGAATTATGGTCTAAGGGCTGGGGCCATAGCTTAGTGGCAGAGTGCTTGCCTTGTATATATGAGGCACTGGGTTCGATCCTCAGCACCACATAAAAATAAACAAAATAATGATATGCTGTCCATCTACAAAAAAAAAAAAAAAAAAGAATTATGGTCAAGATGCATGCTATAATCCCCATTACTTGGAAAGCTGAGGCAGCAGGATTGCAGGTTTGAGGCCAGCCAAACTCAGCAATTTAGGGAGTACCTGCACCCTGCCAAAAAAGGGCTGAGGATGTACCTCAGTGGTAGAGCACCCCTGAGTTTGATTCCCAGTACTGTGGGGGAAAAAAAACTGTCAATAAAGTGAAAAAATAACCTATGAAATGGGAGAAAATATTTGCAAGTCATACATGTGACAAGAGAATACTATCCAGAATAAGATATAAAGACTCTAACTCTAGTAACTCAACAATAAAGAAAAACCAATTAAAAAATGAGCAAAGGCTAAGTAGACATTTTTCCAAAGATAAACAAATGACCAATAAAAGCATATGAAAAGATGATCAACACTATTAGTAATCAGCAAATCAAAACCACAATGATGGGCTGGGGTTGTGGCTCAGTGGTAGAGCACTCGCCTCGTAGGTGCGAGGCCCTGGGTTCAATCCTCAGCACCACATAAAAATAAATAAATAAAATCAATGTATTAAAAAAAAATCTTAAAAAAAAAAAAACAAAACCAAACACACAATGAGATACCCTGCAAACCCAGGCACTTAGAATGAAAAAGACCAAGTGCCAATGAGGATGTGGGGAAATTGGAATGTCAAACATGTTGGAAGGAATATAAAACGTGGCAGGTAATATGGAAGTTTGGCAAAATAACTGGTTAAACAGTTCACCAAATAATCTACTCCTAGATATGTACCTAAAAGAAATGAAAACTTGGCTGGAGTTGTAGCTCAGTGGTAGAGCATTTGCCTTGCAAGTGTGAGGCACTGGGTTCCATCCTAATACCACATAAAAACAAATAAAGGCATTGAATCCATATACAACTAAAAATAAGTAAATAAATGAAAACTTGTCTTTATTCACACCAAAGCTCATCCATGAATATTTATAATAGCACTACTCATAATAGCCCAAGGTGAAAACCCAAATGTCTATCAACTGATGAATGGCTAAACAAAATGCATGGAATATTGTTTGGTCCCCAAAGAAATGAAGTACTTAAAGACTACAATGCAAATGACCCTTGAAAACACTATGCTAAATGAAAGATGCTATTCAAAAGGGATCATATATTACATATATTCTATTTATTTAAAACTCCTAAATGCTTGGTGTGGTGTGCATACCTCTAATCCCAGCTACTTGCAAGGTTGAGGCAGGAGGATTGTAAATCCAAGGCTAGCCTCAGCATTTTAGGCCCTAACAAATTTAGCAAAATCCTGTCTCAAAAAAAGATAAATAATAAAAAGGGTTGGGATGCGGCTCAGTGGTATAGCACTCCTAGGTTCAACCCCTAGTAACCCTGCCCCAAAGAAAGTCCAGACAAAAAGTATAAGAGTGGTTTTCAGGGGCTGGAAGAGGGGTATACAGAGTGACTGCTAATGGTTGCAGGGTTTCTTTTAGGGATGAGAAAATGTTCTGGAACTAGTAGTAGTGGATGCACAACTTTGTGACTATTTGAAAAACTACCGAATTGTGTGGACATTTTTCAAGGGATCTACACTCACACCTCTGGCTTCACACTTTGCCATTATCATGTATGTGTCTGGCTTTCTCAGAAGAATGTAAATTCCTCCAGAGTAGACTTTACCTTGCATTCCTCAGAATCTAGCTCAAGCACAGGGCCAACCATAAAGCAATCACATGATAACCCTTGACAGAGGAATGAATGAATAAACTCTTTCTTACCTTCCAATGCATCATCTCCAACTTCTTCATATGTCTGTCAAGAGACCAGAGAGGGAAGAGATGAACATGATGAAATCCTAGCCTGTGGGCATGGTGGCTTGTTTTTAATAAGAATTGGGTCACTTTAGCTTTCCCACTTTTTGTGAAGCCTAAGCCCTGTTACTAATCCCATCCTGGAGATTGACCCATTTCTAGAGGAGAAAAGTAACCCAAGAGTGGCTGCTTTACCAAATCAGTTACCTGCATGGTGCTCTGGGTGTAGCCATATTGGGGGTAACTGTAGCTGTAGCTGCCTGTGTTCTGGTCATAGCCCCACTGGGCATAGTAGTTCTGGTACTGTTGGTAATACTGGTTATAGCTGTAACTATACATCTGGCTATATTCCACTGGCTTTACCCGGCTCCTTAAATGAAGAAATAAAAACAAATATAAGCAGATATTTATGTAACATTTCCTATGTGACCAGAGACTGTTCTAAATGCTTTATGCAGATTAACTCATTTAATCCTCACAATAACCCTGTGCAATTAGTATAACGTTATTCCTACTTTCAGATTAGGAACTGAGTACAGAGATTAAATAATTGGTCCATAGTCACACAGCTACTAAGAGATTCAAATTCAGGCAGTCTGTCTCCAGAACCCATGTATTTAAGATAGTTCCTAATGGTTAGGTTTGTCTCTCTTATCAAAGTCAGGACCAATTTTTCTCTCCCTTCTCAAGATCTTGGGAGATTATTATTATTATTTTTTTCTGCCAGCTACAAAAGTCAGGTAAACATGGCTAGAGAATCTGGATTTAGAATGATCTAAGAAGTATTTCAAACTACAGAGTTTTTTGTTTTTCTTTTTAATTTTAAGACAGGGTCTCATTAGTTGTTTAGGGCCTCATTAAGTTGTTGAGGTTGGCTCTGAGCTGGAGATCCTCTTGCCTCAATCTCCTGAGCCACTGGGATTATAGGTATGTGCCACCACATTTCCCACGAAACACCAAAACAAAACAAACAGTATTCCAGTAGTCTTATCACTATGGTTCATTAGGGTGATCTTTTTTTTTTTTTTTTGGTGTGTGTATGCGTGTGTGTGCTGGGGATCAAATTCAAGGCTTTGCATATGCTAAGCATGAGCTCTACAGTGAGCTACATCCACAGATACTGTGCCATCTATTTAAGTAGTTACTCTGGTTTTGTAATAATCATTGTTCATCTATGGTCACCTAATTTAAGTCTTGCATGGCCCTAAAATAAAGCTGTTATTTATTATTCCCATTATACAGATGAGGATATCAAATCTCTAAAAAGTTGAGTGATTTCTGAAGGCTATGCTTCGGTCTGGAGCCACATTTAACTCTTTAAGAGTTACACTTCTAATGTTACACCATTACAAACAGCACCTGCTCTGACAAGCTCACAACAACTTGTCTKCTACATCTTGCATTCATCAATCAGGGCCGAAGCCCCCAGTGTTGGTGTAAAGCTTTTTCCTTCTCAGTGCATAGTAGCCATAGTTGCTACTAACCAAAGTCAGAATGCCAAGACCACAAAGAATCTATTGCCTGCAGTGACATATAAACCATATGTGAACAGGCACATCAAAGAGGTCCGGGTTCTTACCAGTGATCCTAGGGTTCTTACCAGTGATCCTAGATGAGAAGAATCACAACAACATAACTCAAGCTCTGTATGTGGCAGTGTTTCCATTCATTGTTTTCTGAAGGGCTCCAGAGTGTCTTTTGCTTTTTTTTTTTTATTATTTTTTATTTTAAATTGTATATGGACTCAATACCTTTGTTTTTATGTGGTGCTAGGATCGAGCCCAGTGCCTCACACTTGGGAGGCAAGTTCACTAYCACTGAGCTACAACTCCAGCCCCAGAGTGTCTTATAAGTGCCAACAAACATGAAGGAGACAGAAGCTAACCACATCATGCCACTGGTTGGTTTGTAAGGAGATTCATAAGGGTTCYATATAATGGATGTCCTTATTTGCTGTCTATAGTCAAGCTAGATGGGTAACCAAGCCATAAGTAGAAGCTGAATACTATACAAATAAATCCCTATTATACAAACTACAAATGCTATTCCTTTCGAGTTCAATGTCTGCTTGGTCAGCAGGACTTAGCCAGAGGTGTCAGGTGGACTCCACCTCTGATTGCTTGAGACCTAGCCTGAAGCAATTCCCCTCTAGAGACATGGTTCAATGAAGTATACTGGCAGACTCYTGCTCCCTGCCCAGCATTAGGTTGGACACTCCTGCTATTCATCTCTGATTCCCCTTTCATGATCTCAAGTATATCTGCCACTCTTCTGACTTGTTAAGGAAATTGAAGGTACAGTCTCCCTAGCCTGGATCTGATTTTGTCTTCATCAGACAATTAAGACATTTCTGTTCTGTTTCTTTACATACAGCTGTTATAGTCAAAATCTCAAAAAGAACTCTGGTCACCCTCATTCCCAGGGTTTTAGGGCACCTCCCCTTAGGCAGGTACCAATCACTGACAACAATATCAAACAAGTAACAGATAGAACAGATTAAAACCTCTTTGTYTCCCCTGTTTATAGCTATATCTCCAAAGTCTAGGACTGGACCTATGTAGTTGCAGGGACTCGGTAAATACTGACTGAACAAATGATAAGATATCAAACTGGTATACATCAGAAGAATTCCTGGACAGAATGTACCAYGAAAGAATATTCAAAGTCTAGTGTAGAGGTGTATGCCTGTAATCCCAGCTACTTGGGAGGCTGGGCAACTTAGTGAGACCCTGTTGAAGAAAACAAAAAAAAAGGGGGATGTAACTCAGTGGTAAAGCACTTGTCTACCATGTCCAAGACCCTGGGTTCAATTACCAGTCCTGGGAGGTGAGGGGAAACATATCCTGAAGTTTAATTATTTATTTATATTTGTAGTGATAGGGATGGAACTCAGGGTCCCCTACATGCAGGACAAGCACTCTACCACTGAGCTATATCCCCAACTCTATTCTGCATTTTATTTTAAAACATTATTGTTGGGGCTGGGGATGTGGCTCAAGCGGTAGCGTGCTTGCCCATCATTTGTGCGGCCCGGGTTAGATCCTCAGCACCACATACAAACAGGGATGTTGTGTCGGCCGAATATAAATATTAAAAATTCTCTCTCTCTCTCTCTCTTAAAAAACAAACAAACAAACAAACAAACTGCTCTATAGGATCATTATAAAGATCAAGCCATTTCCTTCTTTAAAAGAAAAAAAAATTATTGTTGGGGCTGGGATTGTGGCTCAGCGGTAGAACGCTCACCTAGCACAGGCGGGACCCAGGTTCAATTCTCAGCACCACATAAAAAAATAAATAAATAAAGGCATTGTGTTGTGTCCATCTACAAAAAAAGATATTCTCTCTCTCTCTCTCTTAAAAAACAAAACAAACAAATAAAAAAAAAATATTGTCTGGGGTTATTCAATATAGAGTGTGCTTAGCAATATGGGGTTCTAGGTTCAATATCCAGCACAGCCCACCACATAAATATACAATGATGATTTTACAACCATATGAAAAAGTGTATGTACTAAGTAAACTGGAAAACAAACCCAATGAACACTTTTTTTTTTCACCATTATACCTGCATCGCTCTTATAATTTAAAAAATGAAGGGTTGAGCTAGATGTAGTAGCACATACCTGTAATCCCAGCTACTCAGGAGAATAACAAGTTTAAGGTCAGTCTGTGTAATTTAGTGATATCCTTTCTCAAAATAAAAAAATAAAGGGGCTGGGTATGTGGCTCAGTAGTGGGATGCTTACCTAGCATGTATGAGGCCCTGGGTCACAGCACCGCCAAAAAAGGAAAGAAAAAGAAAATCTATGCTATGTAAACTGAGTCTTGTGAAAATCATATAAAGAAGTTTTATAGTAATTTTAAATTTTTTTGTGTGGTRCAATATCTTTATTTCATTTATTTATTTTTATGTGGTGTTGAGCTCAGCCACAACTCCATTCTGTAGCCCTCTTTTTTTGGTACTAGGGATTAAATCTGGGGTGCTTAACGACTAGGCCACATTCCCAGCTCTTTTTATTTTGAGGGAGGGTCTTGCTAAGTTTTTCAGGACCTCGCTAAATTGCTGAGGCTGGCTTTGAACTTGTGATCCTTCTGCCTCAGCCTCCTGAATTGCTGGGATTATAGGTGTGTACCCCCACCTTTATTTTTCATTTTGAGACAGGGTTTCACTAAGTAGCCCAGACTGATCCTGACAGACTTCTGATCTTCCTGTCTGAGGTTCCCAGGTCACTGGTATTACAGGAATGCACTACTACACCTGGCTGAAATTATAGTAATTTTGGAGTAATGTAATTACGAGGAAATTTTTCTCTTTTAAAAATTTTGCTAGCTGGTTTGGTGGCACATGCCTTTAATTCCWGCTATTTGGGAGGCCAAGATAGGAAGACCATAAGAAACTTAGTAAGACCCTGCCACAAAAAATAAAACCAAAAAACAAACAAACAAACAAACAAAGAAAAAAATAAGTGGGGGGGGATTAGGGATGTGATTACATAGAGTACACTGAGGAAATCACTCAGGTTGGGGCTGGGGCTGTAGCTCAGTGGTAGAACGCCTGCCTTGCACATGTGAGGCCCTGGATTTGATGCTCAGCACCACATTAAAATAAATAAATAAAGATACTGTGTCCATCTACAACTAAAAAAAAAAAAAAAAAAGAAATCACTCAGGTTGTTCTTCATTTAATGTATTATTATTTTTTGGGGAGGTCGAGGTACCAGGGATTGAATCCAGAGGTGCTTTACTACTGAGCCACATTCCYCAGCCCCTTTTAAAAAATATTTTACTTAGAGACAGGGTCTCATTGAGTAGCTTAAGGCCTCGCTGAGTTGCTAAGGCTGCCTTTGAACTTGMGATCCTCCTGTGTCAGCCTTCCAAACAAATGGGATTACAGGCATGTGCCACCATACCTGGTATCATTCAATGTATTAAACATAGTTAAAACACAAAGAATTCCCAAATCACTTTTAAAAAACAGTTATTCCCAGCAGTTTTGGAGACTGAGGCAAAAGAATCTCAAGTTAGTTAAAGCTAGCCTCAGGGGCTGGGGTTGTGGCTCAGAGGTAGAGTGAGTGCTCACCTAGCATGTGCGGGGCCCTGGGTTGGATCCTCAGCACAACATAAAAATAAATAAATAAAATAAAGGTATTGTGTCCAACTACAATTGAAAAATAAATATTTTGAAAAATAAATATTTTAAAAAATAAATAAATAAAGCCAGCCTCRGCAACTTAGCAAGGCCTTAGGCAACTCAGTTCAATCCCTACCAAAAAAATAAAAAAATAAAATAATAATAACACACAGTTATTGTAGGACGTTTAGCAGCAATCCTAGCTGCTACACACTAGATGCCATTCTAATTGAGGTAACCAAAGTATCTGTATATGTTGTCAATATCCCTTTAGGGCTAAGACTGCCCCCAGTTGAGAATCGTTACCTTGGTTAAATAGTGAAAGATGCTACTCAGAGAAAGGCTGTCTTACATCTGCTCAAGAAATCTCCTTGAGCTGGGCAGTGGTGCAAGCCTGTAATCCCAATCTCTCGGGAGGCTGAGGCAGGAGGATCACGAGTTCCAAGCAAATCTCAGCAAAAAGCAAAGCACTAAACAACTCAGTGAGAGACCCTGCCTCTAAATAAAATACACAATAGGGCTGGGAATGTGGCTCAGTGACTGAGTGTCCCTGAGTTCAATCCCTAGTACCAACATCTTTGTTGGTATGTGGTGCTGAGGATCGAACCCGGGCCGCACGCATGCCAGGYGAGCRCGCTACCGCTTGAGCCACATCCCCAGCCCCTAGTACCAACAAACAAACAAAAAAACTTCTGGGACTTGTTAGGAAAGGATTTTCTACCTAGAAAAGGCAGAAAAGCTTTTCTACCTACCATGACAAATCTAATAGTGACATATATAATATTCTATAAGGGGTTTAGAATCCATTCTTAGCCATATCCACAGCAAGGGACTTTCATAGGAGGTTTGAAGGTTTCATTAACATAAATATAGCTCACACTGGAAGCAACTTTTTTCCTTCTGCTCAATTCTTATAAATTCTCAATAGCAACACCACTGAGCGAAGAAAAGGAACATTGGACAAGTATAGCCAGCTTTTACAGTATTGCTACCAGAAACATCTGAATATATCTGCCTCCCCCAGTTATACCTGTCTTCAACCTCTGAAGGGTTGAGGTTATAATAGTTCATCTCTAATACCCAGCACCCACCTGCCCAAAGGCAGATGTTTGGTAATCATGACTTGAAGTCAGCCTTCTTGCAGCCTCCCGTCCAAGTGGGAGTCCCATACCTGGCGGTCAGCAAACAGATAAGGAATGTGGGTGGGATGAGTCTAGGGCCCTCCGCCCTCCCTACCGAACTCACGCTTTAGGGATTGCCACACTCAGCCGAACAGGTTTAGACCCCAGTCCTACTGCTCCCTGGCACTCCGTCAGGGCTCGTTTCTGTTCCAGTTCATCTGTGAATTTCACAAAACCATAACCCCTGCAGGGGGAAAAAAACCCAATACACTCTTAGGTCACAAATGTGATGAAGTTTTAAGAAGGGAGGCATAGAAAAGAGGGAAGAGTTAGAGGCAGGCAGGATTGAGGAAAAGAAAAGAAGGAAGAAAGAATCCATCAATCTGGGAAAGGACAAGTCCCAGTAGTGGAGGTATCCACAGAATAGTGCCAGATTCAAGCATTGGACAACCTTGAAATCTGCAGGAATTCCTACTTTCAGTTGACTATTCTTAATACCTTCACCTGTGGGACTCCTTCCCAGTTAAGAGCATCCTTCCTAATCTACTGGAAAATAATAAATTATTATCACTATAATTATAGTAGTAGCAGTAATAATAACAGTTGAAGAAGTCCACTCCACAAATATTTCCAGAGTCTTTGTATGTTTGGTATTGTGTGGATGCAGCAGTCACAGAGACTTGGTTTGTGCTCTCCTGAGCTCATGTTCTTGTTGGGGAATGATCTAGGGATAGGTAACATTTATTGATCACTAATTATTTCCCAGGCACTGTACTGAGTATTTTCCCTAAGTAATCTCATCAAACTGTCCAACAATCACATAAGATAGTATCCACCATTTTACTGAAGAGGTAGCCAAAGTTATACATAGTAGAAGCATAATTCAAATCCACATGTGTCAGACTTCCAAAGCCTGTGCTTGTAAGTACTGTGCTAATCAACAATAAGCCTGTTTGGGCTGGGGTGTGGCTCAGTGGTAGAGTACTTGCCTCATATATGCAGCACTGCCATTTAAAAAACAAACAAACAAAAAACAAACCTTTCTTGAAGTTTTTCCCTTTCTATTCATTTTTTACATTTTAAAATTAATTAATTATTTTTTGGGGGGGGTTACTAGAGATTTAACCCTGGGGTGCTTTACCACTGAATCACACCCCCAGCCCTTTTTATTTTTTATTTAGAAACAGATTTGCTGAGTTGCTTAGGG